TGAAACAAAAACAAAAAGTTTTGATCGTTTAATAAGAGAGAAAAAATACTTTTTATGGATTTTTGGCTCAAATCTGCACTTTGATAGGAGGCGTTTAAAAGCTAACAAAGTTCTAGTTTGTTTGAAAAATCATATCTACTATATATATTTTGAAAGTTTAGTCCGTCATTATTGATTTAACTTACATTTGAAAATTTCTCCAGGTCTTCCATTGTGTAAAAATTATAACTAAATTCATTGTTCTATTATAATTTTGAGAGCCAGAAAAGAAGATATTTTCATACGCCACCATTCCGCCAAAAATATAATCCCTGCTAGTTTTCAATCGCAGTTTACCATTTCTATTTCAAGTTGTACAATTGTGATGAGGAAAATAAGGCATATAAGGAAATATACTTTGAATGTTTCTTCTAGTCAGAAACCAGAGAAGAATCCTACCTTAAAATCCCATTATTTGTTAATGTTTGAACTTTGGATGCATTAAAAATCAAAATCTATCCAGTGAAACATTAATTTTATTTCAATAAACATGACTAAAGTTGTTGTTTTAAAGTTAGTTTGTATCATTTTCCCGCAATTTTAAAATTCTTGTATGAGCCATTCTTCTTAAATTTGTGATCTCATATTATTAAAAAGTGTTTGCTATAAAATCAATAATGAATCAACAAAAGCCTTAGACAACTCATGAAAATAACTGGTGGAAAAATCATTTCAGTACCTATAGGAACGGCAATGGAATATGAAGTTTTCCACTTTAATTATTTCTATTGATTAATTTATTTATTTATTTATTTATTTATTTTTTAATCTACTGTCACCTTCAGATTATGCTTCAAAATAGAAGCATTCATGTGAAGACAGATGTCTACTTTATTTACTTAGATAGGTTTGTGGGATTTTCGTCAGCCCTGTAATCAATTTGTTGTGATTTTCTAGGCCTATCTTTTCTCTTTATTCTTATCGTCACAAAACAGAAATGAAACACTTAGGAGAAACTATTTTGGACAATTTCCACCAAACGGTCTAAGGATGAATGTAATTAGATAACTGGGATATCTTTAAACCAATGTTTTAGTATGAGGAAGATTTAATATTATGTAGAAAAAAATCCTTGCTTAAAAATGGTTAGATATAAATCTGGTTCAATATAATGCAAGACTGAACTGTAAACTTAATATTTACCTGGTTCAAATGAAATATGAAGATAAAAAATTAAATTGAGGACTGGACGCTAAAACTATACAAAATTTATCTTTTCCCAAGCTCTAGTTGAATTACTAGTAAGCTCTGCAGTTGTACACATGTTTTGTATCTAGACGTTTGTACAAAAGCCTTTGGTTGTATGTAGTGTTTTCCTTTTTATTTACATTTGTGTCACAAGTACCTAAGCACTTCAGTACTAGCTTGAAAATGCAGTTATACATTTAATGGCTGTGGTAAATTAAATAAGGGAATTTATTACAAAATTAAGGATTATCCCCCTCATACATAGCTCTGTATGCTTATGAAAATTTCCTAAGATGCGTCTTAAGGGTACTTAACAAGAATTTGATGTTTGGATTGGTATATATTTTTTGAATGATTTTGATTTAAAATGTCATTTATAATATATCCCTGAAATATAAGGAAATTGTAGGTTTTCCCTGGTGCTTAGAATTTGTTTTGCTTTCTATATAATTCTATACAAAATTTTGTACAATTTTTAACCTTATGACCAACTCTTTATTAAATTTTCCTTTTATATTAGGTAAACATTATTCAGGAAAGCAATTTGAATATAAATCTATGAGAAATATTGCCGATTTCCGAAAAAAGTTTGTTTGTGTGTTTTAATTTTGTGGTTCCTATTTGCAATGACCTTGTCAGCAAATACAATTTATCATTGAGACAAATGCAGACTGACGTTTTTCATATTGTTAGTCCATTATTTATACACCGAATTGACGACGGATTTTACCGATATTTCCCGATCATGACAAGGAGCACACGGTGGGTGTGACCAGTCAGCAGGGGATGCTCACTCCTTCATGGCACCTGATCCAACCTCTGATGTTTCCGAGGTCCCTGTTTGCTCTGCTCCAATTGTGTATTGTTTTATGGACTGTGATATTGAATACTGTTCATTATCTCTATATCCTTCTTATCCTGAAGGTAGGATTCTTCTCTGGTTTCTGACTAGATGAAACATTCCAAGTATATTTGCTTATATGTCTTATATATTGAGGTGTAAGGAATTCAGAATACCATATTTTTTCTTTCCTTATCACAATTGTACAAATTCAAATAGAAATGGTAAACTGCGTTTGAAATCTAGCAGGGACTATATTTTTGGCGGAATGGTGGCGTATGAAAATATCTTCTTTTCTGCCTCTCAGAATTGTAATAGAACAATGAATTTAGTTATATTTTTTACACAATTGAGGACTTGGATAAATTTTCAAATGTAAGTTAAATTGATGATGAGGGGCCAAACTCTCAAAATATATCAAATAAATATGATTTTTCAAACAAACTAGAACTTTGTTAGCTTTTAAACACTTCCTATCAAAGTGCAGATTTAAGCCAAAAATCAATAAAAATTATTTTTTCTCTCTTAGTAAACGATCAAAACTTTTTGTTTTTATATCATTTTGTACATTTATAGGACTACTTTATTATATGTGAAAATAAGAAAAAGTTAAATATAGAAAGCATATGAAAATAACTAATTTATCCTAAAAAATTAAGAAGAACAGAGAAAATTCGGATTAGCCAGTATCCAGTTAAGTTAGATTATTTATGTAAATTTGGTAATAGCATGCTATAGACACGACATAGTAATATGTTTTTATACAAAAAGAACAATCATTAAGCTTTTGAAATAGAAGTAGGTATCATATGATTGGCAACAGTTATTTTTTATTCTTAATGTCAAGGAAAAGATAATGACCTTGACCTGACCTTGCCTCTAATATAAAACGGTCAAATTTAATTTCACTGATACTATCACTTACTGATATCGTCTTCTTGATTCTGTGAAAATTTCATTGATTTTTAAATACTAGAAATATGAGAAGAATCCTACCTTAAGGACAGATGATACAAACAAATTTTTTCTTTGAAAAAGATTAAATATCATGTCACAAGTTTAGAAAAGTGGATGGTTCTTAGAATTTTTTCTCCGAAGAACTGGAAAATGAAATAGATTTGGAAAATATTAGTAATATTTCAATAAAAAAACGAATATAGACAAATCACATTCAGTAAAGGTTTACAGCTGAAAATAAATTTCAGAATATGTTATCCTGGCGTTAAAAGTGTAATATAAACCTTAGAAAAATATACCAAGCCAGGTGAATTTTAAGAGGAAGATCGAAATGACAAAAAATTGGCAATATCACATAGGCTGATTTTTACCATTTAGCTTTTCCTAATAAAATTCACCTGGCTCGGTATATTTTTCTTAAGTTTATATTACGCTTTTAGCGCCAAGATAACATATTCTGAAATTAATATTCACCTGTAAACCTTTACTGAATGTGATTTGTCTATATTTGTTTTTTCATTGAAATATTACTCATATTTTCCAAGTCTTTTTCATATTCCAGTTCTTCGGAGAAAAAATTCTAAGAACCATCCACTTTTCTAAACTTGTGACATGATATTTTATATTTTTCAAAGAAAAAAATTGTTTGTATCATCTGTCCCTAAGACGTGTCTTAGGATATATCTTGCGACATATCTTAGGAATATCTTAAGAAACGTCTTAGGGTGTAAAAGTAAAGCATCTTAGGAATATCTTAAGTAACGATGTCTTAATTTCCGTCCTAAGTATTTTCTCTTTTCTTTTTTCGTAAAACAAAGCAGCATTGCGTGAAGTTCCTTTTTCCAGATTCCAACATATGCACTTGTTTACCAGTTATATAAAGCTTTGAGTAATCTTTCAATATTCGTTTCGGATTGCTCCATTTATCTGACCAGTACATGGCAGGTGTTATCACTTAACAGGGGATACTTATTTTTCAAAGGCACTTAATCCCACCTCCGGTCTTTTAGAATTTTGTGTTTTACCCTTTATTGAACAAATTCATTTTATTGTTCTGAGATAATATTTTTGAGATTCATCCCTGTTTACTATCTCTAACTTTATCACTTGGCCAATCATAAGATTGCATGCCATTTGGTAAAAGAAGGGGGCAACCGTTTTTCATATAAAACAAACTTGAATTCTTTTGCTTGCTAACCTCAAATGAAATATTTTTGTACATTGTGGTTTCAAATTATATCTGTGAATATTCAGTGGAGAGTAAAAGATGCACACTTAAAACTAAAAACTCTTCGTAAAAGAAACTTGTCCGCCATATTAGATTATTCACTTGCTATATCTGAGGGCCTCTATATAAGCAGCTCACTGTTCAATGTAATAAATTATAGCCGGTGTTGACGAACGTATGCTACAGATCATTTTATGTTAAGAAGGTTGATCCCCTTGCTCTTAGAAACTAGTAGTGTGATCGAATATGGCATATGCCTATTTAAAAGTCGTGTTCAGCTTTAATATACTGAGATACTTGTAGTCGCAGCAATGTATCTTTGTAAAGAAGGATTTTTTTTATAACATTAAAGCATCCAATAAAGGTTGGGCAGATCGAACTCACTCCACCTGGTTGACTAGAATGTAAAAAGTATTAACCACTAAAATTTTATAAAAAAAAAAAAAAAAATTCGTCCTTAGCAATAAACTGTGAGTAGAAGTTAGATTTCCTGACGTCAAATTAAATCACACATCTTTAATACAGTTAAGATAATAAGTCTTTAAAACAAAGACGATGTTGTTACAAGTCTTGTCTTCTGAATTCATAACATTGTGTTGTTATAGTCTTTCTAATTCTTTTATTATCTACCATTAATCATCTGCAGATCTTAGCGTCATATATGCAGAATATGATACCATTCACCCATTTTGAGTGGTATTTAGTACGTAAAACTATTGGGAAATGGTTTCTAAATTGTTCGATATTTTCAACACAAATAACTCATTTTTATTGTTATTTCAAGCTATTTCTCATAAAAGTCAACTCAACACATATACTGAAATTTTCTTACTGTAATTCTGTAAATGTGTGATAAAACAATGTAAAATTCATTCCAAATACTATTGAACTCTGTTCATTTTATCAATGCAATATCCCATTTGTTGGTGGGTCCGATCAGCAAAAGAGCAGCTGGTTATCCCACGTGACCTTTTTACAGATTATGGTGATAATGTTTTATGTGTGTTTTACTTATTAGAAAAATTGATAGATTAATATTATAATTCTGATAATTGTAGCAGTCTGTATTCGATTAAATTGAGGTTGTCTGAGTGATTTTTGGAAAGCGTAAAATGCAGTCTTGAAGTTCCCTGTCATGTAGTAACAAATTCCTAAGATCTGCCATGAAATGTCTCCATACACTACATCATCGATAAAGTTATTTTTAATTCTGTTCCAAAGGACATTCAAAGCTGTTTGTACTCTCGTTGAATCAACATGAATGTAGCACAAAATTTCTAGCATGTATAGCAACACAAAAGGTTGAATTTCTAAGTTTGATCCAGACAGTTCTATGAATAGTTCATTGATATAAACGGTATTTTTAAAAAGGGTGATTTTTCCCGCCATGCCTTCTCTCAATTTTGTAGACCAAGATTTCCCTCCTACAATTTGAGTGTAATTCTCTCTATCCCTTATATGTGGTATATAAATCACATGTGGCTGTGATAACTTGACCTTAGTCATCTCTATAATAGACAAAGCTTCTGTGTACCTGAATGTCTTGTAATAATACATTGCTAAATACAACACTTGAGAAATACAACCAAACCTTGCTGCTAATTTGAGCATGTTACACGAAATCTTTTCAGTAATGTACTTCTGCTTGTTACCACCTCTGTCGATGTACATGTTGTGTAAAATAAAAGCATCAGTTAAAAGAATACGGCATGTATGATCCTGCAATGTGGCAAGATGGTATTGTGTCAAAGGTTAAAAAGTTAGGACACACTCCCTCACACACCCATTTGAGAATAAGTTTGAAGCAAACCCAGAAACACTGCAGGAGATTTTGGGGGCTCCAGTGAGATATTTTGTTTTGTTGAATCGCCCAGAAAACGGCTGTCTTCATATGATAAGAACACAGTATTTTATCTTCACTGTTTAAGCCATTATTAATTACCTCCTCAAGGAACAGTTTCAGTAAACCATAAATTAAAAACTGACAATGGTTCATCGAATATACAAGTTGTTTTTCTGCCAGCGAGAAAGATATCCTCCATTCTTTATCTACATGATTTCCAAGGCTGTGTCCTATTGCAACAAAGTGGCACCCTTTTTTGACAATATCGTGAACCACATGGGGTTTGGGCCATGTCCGACATCTACTTACCCATGAGGAGGCTGATGGAGGCCAGGATCTGCTGTGAAAGGCGTGGGCCACATCAATTTCAATAATTCCATGTAAAGTTCCACTTTTGCAGGGACCATGGATGATAGGATTTCCAATACCATATGAAGGCATTATTTGTCTACATTTTAAGCTAGATATATAAAGTTTATTCTTTATCACTACACATGAGAACAGAATTCTAATATCTATCTTTCGATTATTCGGAAGCCATAACAAAGTGAATTCTGGCGGGCTATCAGAATCATCTGAAACAATCAATATTTGATTTTGTTCATTGTAATACTGTAAATGAGATTCGTCCCAAATCACTTGATAATCAGCTGACCAGCACACAAAGTCTCTATCAGATCCCCCTAATCTGAATCCTTCTCTGAAACTTCCACTTAACATCTCGATAGCGCCCCTTTTTGTATTTTCTTCATTTATAATCATCTCACGGATGTCTACAACATCCCTCCTCATGGACACTACTTCTGAAGTTCCCACTATTTTACAGAGTCCGACAAACACAGACTCTGACAAACGTTCCAAACATTTCTCACTAAAACAAAAAGAATGTTAATAAAATTTTATGCTCAATTGTTTTTAGAAAATATACACTCCTTATGAATTATATGCTAACGTACTGATAAACTTATTCAATAATTATTGGGAAAAAATCCCATTAACAATACTTACATTGAATTTCTTTGCAAATATGAAGAAGAGTAGGAAGCCATGTGTACTTAATATTTTCATATAATCCTCTAAGCACGGAAATTTTAACCAAAACAAGCTGATATTACATCCGGCATACTTTAAATACATTTCCTAGTGATATAAGTACTAAAGCATAACTGAATTACGTCAAGTGATTTTCGTTTTTTCAAGTTTTGTTTCGAAGCGTGTTTTATCAAATCACAGGAAAAGGGAACCTATATTTGGTGAATCAAATTATGAATTCTTGTGTATATAGTTCAGATTCCTAACCCTTTTGTAGAATCTCCAGATATAATTCTAAGATCTTACTTGTATGTTTTCTTCATACCAAACACCAAATAAGGTCTATCTCATTCAAAGATTTCTTTTTGTGAGAGGTGAGGGAGAAAAAATGATGGACTAGCCCTAACAAAAAAAACTATCGTTTACTATAATGACTTTGAAAAACTTTGGCGAAAACTTTGACACTTTAAAAAACTTTGACGAAAACTTTGACACTTGGAAATTTTGACACTTTGATTTACTATAGATAACAATACTATAGTATGGGTCACACGTAAGGTGCTCTGCTCTCTAATCCATCTGGCCAACGGCTAACGAATCCGACTAACGTCCTCTCCCTAATGGTCTTTGGCCTCCGAAGACACCTACTAAGGATCTTTCCTATAGGAGAGTTAAAATTTCAATGGAACGTGTAAATATACTTACCTTACGGGACTCTGAAGTTGATATGCAAAAGATGCTCGAGTTTCTGATTGATAATGTTATATATTTATGTAGGATTTGGAGACCAGGTCTTTCTGTTGTAATTCCTATCGGTACATGCACCAATCGCACCCCGTTAAAAAAAGCAGACCTATGTTAGTATTCATATGAAGCCGTATTTATTCAGAAATTCCAAAGTAAGAAGAAATCACATGCTGTTGCCTCCAACTAGAAATTTTTATATATACACTACATATACTGTATATACTAGTAATCAATAAGCTATAGTTACTTCCATTCTTTGTCAACTCAATATACCCCATTGAGCTTAAAAATAAAAAAAAAAAACCGCCATTATGTCTGATTTATCTGTTTCATATTTGGATATTTTACTGAAGAAAAAACTAGGAACAAAGCTTGCTGATAAGCTTGATAAATTCAACTTTTCAATTCACTGCTTCCCTTACTTTTGTAGCAATATACCTTTCTTAGCATTAAAGTTCTGTGGAAATATATATATCTATTTTTACTCAAAACGTAACACTGGAAGGGAGAATCTTGCTTTGCTTGATTGCAAGACTGGATTCTCACACAAATAGTAATTCTATTCTAAGTATAAACTGAAAAGAGTCTGCTGTCGATTCTGTTTTTGAATGTTTGCATCGGTATCAGAGGATATGTGCATTTGGTTTTCCCCCTTTTAAGGGAGCCCACTGGAGTTTTATTGTCCGAAAACTATATTGGCGAAACTCTTTAATTTTATAACATATATTTATTACATTGACTTCAGTGTACATGCCAAATTTTGGGAAAGTCTATCAGGTATTTAAAAGAGACCGTCTCAAAATACGAATATATTTTTTAAAGGATTATATAAGAAAGTGCAAATTTTTCGCACTTTAAAGCAAATTATACAAACATATATATGATAGACCTTTTGCCCAGATTATGAGATCTGATAGATAATACTATATTGTACATTATATATAAGAAACACAAAATTCTACCATCTGGTTTCCAGAGGAATCATTTCAAAATGCAAAACATTAATGATTTTTCCTGTTTTTATGGAGTACTACAAAATATGAAGGATACAAAGAATAATTAAACTGCTAAATAAATAAAAAGAAAAAATGAACAAGAGATTCCAACAATCTTTTTGAATTTCTATGTGTACCTATTCCGCTCCGTTATTAGCAAACCTATTTTTGTATTCTCATTTTAATTTTTATTTAATCTATAATTTATGTCCAGGAATTATAGAACAAAACCCCCTTTTTTGTTGCTATTTGCAATCTTCCTTACCTCATCTTTATTTTCTCTTTCTATTATGTTGACATTTAACTACATGTATGATCAGCCACCAAAAAATGATTGTAGCAACACGGTGGTTTATTTATTTATTTATTATTTATTATTTTTAGAAAATAATTAGTAGATGTACTACGTATGTCTACACGATCATACAGAGGCCTGTCCTCCTTATGAGAACAGAGAATTGAGGCTGGAAGCACTAGGTGAAAAAAGAAAATGTGTATTTTCTTATCACCAATTAAAGATTTATCATACCTAGATAAATCAAATATATATATACAATATACTAAATACAAACAGAAAATATGAAGGATACAAAGGATAATTCAACTGCTAAATAATTTTTTAAAAATGCACAAAAGATTCCAACAATCTTTTTGAATTCCCATGTTTACCAATTCCGCTCCGTTATTAGCAAACCTATTTTTGTATTCACATGAAGCAGAATTTGTGCAAAATCTTATGCGTAAAAAAAACAAGAAAGGTGTGCTGTGGCCTTTAACTCGACATTTAGATATATCGACGACATATTGTCAATTAAAAATTGTAATTTCCATTCCTATGTCGATGTATGTATATCCTGGTGACCTTGAGATAAAGATACTACAGGGTCTGTCTTATCTGTTTCATACTTGGATATTTTAACCACCAAGCTCTATGATAAACGTGATGACTTTGACTTTTCTATCGTTACCTTCCCTTACGTAAACAGCAATGTACCTTCATCACCTGCATACGGAGTTTATACATCTCAATTGATTCGGTACGCAAGGGCAAATTTTTAAAACGAGGTAAAATATTGTCAAACAAGTTGATGAAACAAGAATATCGACAGTATCGTTTAAAGTCATCATTTCGTATCCTCTGTGGTCGATACAATGACCTTGTCACTAAATACAATTTGTCATTGAGTCAAATGCTGACTGACGTTTTTCATACTAATTGTTAGTCCATTATTTATACACTGAATTGATGACGGATTTTTCCGTTATTTTCCAATTATGACAAGGAGCACACGGCGGTTGTGACCGGTCGACAGGAGATGTTCACTCCTCCATGGCACATGATCCCACCTCAGGTGTTTTGGAAGTCCGTGCTTGCTCTACTTATATTTTGTATTGTTTTATGGACTTTGATTTTGAATACAGTTCGTTATCTCAAAATCCTTTATATCAAATTTCTATGTTTTAAAGAGCTAAATCGGCCTTATTATTTTAGGAAAATTAAAGTGAGGAGAAGAAGAAAATTATTTGAGGAGAAATTATCCTTAGGTATAAAACTTGAATAGTTTACGCCAAAATTTTCATTTGATGACGTAATATTTATACAATGCATATTTCACGACAGGGTAAAACAATAATTTTCAATTCATATATAATAATACACCCTGGTAGTTGGTTCTGTTTATCAGTTTTGATAAACATGTAACTGTTTATGTTAAAAATATATGCTTTATTCCGACTTGGTCACTCAGGAGATCTATTGTAGTTGTGAAGTTAGTTAAATTACGTTCTTAAGTTGTTAGCTGCCCTTAGACTGGTTTTATTGTATTTGTTACGTTAGTTAGATTACATACGTAAGTTGTTAACTGCCCGTATAGTGGCATTCCTGTAGTTGTTAAGTTAGTTAGATTACATACTCAGGTTGTAAACTGCCCTTAGACTGGTCTTAATATGTTTTTGTTAAGATTAAGTTTTTCTCGATTCCTTGTTTTCTTACTCGTCGTCACGAAACATAAACAATGAAAAAAGGAAATATTATCGTATCTGATTTACCAAAATAGAAAAAAAATATCCAAATCAAATTTTTATAAGGATGATACTGTTAGATAAGATTTATGGATACTGTTCAAAGTATATATTTAGCATGAGATTAAAGATTGTCGATTATTTTTACTTAGAATTTCTACTTTGTTCAATACTCGGAAAGGAGAAACTCTCAGTGTTTATTTCGGTGTTAGATGATACTCTTATACACTAAAGTTAATCTTTGAATAAAAAAAATCATCTGAGCTCAGTTCTTTGGTCGATAATATACCCCTATCAGCAAGTGCAACCTGTCGTTAAAGCAAACGTTGTTTGACGCTTTTCAATAAAATTTATAGGGCATGGTTTTTAAAACTGAATTGTCTTCGGATTTTGTGTTTGCTCGATCATGACAAGGAACACACAATGGTTGCTATCTGTCTGCAGGGGATGCTGTCTCCTCCATGGTACCTGATCCCAACTCTGATGTTTTATAGGGCTGCGTTTGCTCTGCTCCCAGTTTGTTTTGTTTTAATGGACTTTTGAGCTTGGTTACTGTTGGTTAAATGTTAACTGTTTGTTCATTACCGGCCGCCAGGAGGCGGTCGGTTAGTTGAAATGAAAGTTTTAAGTCGCTGTGCGTTTCTGCGGAGTTAGAACAACTTGAATAAAAATATTTAATAACATTCATATTATAGAATATTAAACAAAGATATTCAAAATGTTTAACAAAAAGCACAATAATCATAAAATAAAAATTTTATAGATAATTGGGTAAATATTTCATCCGATCCTGATTGACAAACTCTGACATTACTGAAGTGAGGAGAAAATTAGCACGAATTGTCTTATGTAGACATAGTCTTAAAAAAGACCACGTCGTAAATCAACAATTTTACTTTCTCTTTTTAAACAGCCTAGACAGGATTTGTTGTACTTATTTTAAAATGCCGTGTATATTTATACATTTCCTATGGACATTTTTCAAAAATTTGATGAAATATTGATTTCTTAAAAGCACAGAATCATACGACAATTTTGTCCATGAGACTAGGATAAAGCGCGTTTTACAATGTGCCATGCATTTTCCCTCCACATCTCAACACCAAAACAAAGAGACTGAAAGAGAAGAAATGTAGTGGTGGATCTAGATGGATTTGGGGGGTTGTTAACATCCGCTATGAGAGTCCAACATATTTCATATTTGTTCCGTTTAAATTAAAGTAAAACTATAGCTAAGTTTAAGCTTTAGTTTTGTACTTTTATGTAATAATTACTTAAACATCAAACTTCCACCAGAGCTCGTTTATAAGTACGAAACTACTGCATAGACGCAGAGGTCTATGGGCAGTTTGCTTACACATATAATATTGTACATGCATTATGCATTAAGAAAATCGGCAATGTCTCATGCAAGTATTTCATGTCACGAGGATATTTTAACAGATAAATATAAGAAATTTTAAAAACAGATCACGCAAATTTCAGTTTCGAATTACTTTATCAAAGCAAGAATTCATTGGTTTGCGGCCGATTTTTGACGCTTGCGTCAATATGTTTCTTGTATTTCGTTGTATTCTGAAATTAACATGACTTCTGATTCGCAAGCTTTCTCATATAAAGTAATATTTTAGGAATTTGAGAGGATCTTTTGTGTTTAAGTCGAATCGCCCAAATGTTGAAGACTAACTATAGTAAGTACTCGAGGGACACGACTGTACCCGTTAATTTTAAACACATTGTAGACAAAAATTCGATAAGTATAGCTTAACTGAAAAATTCAACAAACCTTATTATTATAAGACAGTTGGTGGGGACTTTTTATTAATGAAAAGAAAGGTAAAGTGGCAAGTGCATTATGGGGGAGTTCTAAATAAAAAGTGAAGCTGAGAATATAGAATTACCGATATGCTGTTAAACACTGATCGCCTGAGGAAGAAATATGTAACATTTGAAAGCTATTCTAAGTTTTGGCTTATCTATAGGCCTATAAAACAAGCAATTTGTTTGTTTTTTCAGAACTGAGTGTACAGGATATAGATAAAAATATCCATATGAAAACTACAGCAGCAGACTATACCGGGAAAGAAGGGGGAGGATGTTGCTAGAATAGGCGTACCTACATGTAAACAAATATATGATATATCTATGAGTCCGCCCCTAAGCATACATATATCATGTATATAAACACTAAAGCTAATTTTATTATTAAAATATGCTTTGTGTTATATTTTACTTATAGCGACTATTGAAATGTAAAATTAGAAAGAAAAAAAAATGAAAATGTGGATTTATGCTTCTGAATTTTTCATAAGTGCTTATCTACTTCCTTGAAACGATAACGTACATGATTACGGTACATATATATTGGTGTATTCATGTTTAAAAAAGTCTACTTAGCATGAAAACGATAAATATAGAATATTCGGAAACATTCATTCAGTCATTGGAAGGAATTGATGTAATAAATAAAGACTTACTCTAATGTCCTATTAATAAATTAACCTCTTATTGGAGTGTATGAACATATCTTAGGTTAGGCCTTTGTTTTAAAATCAAATTTGACTACGGAATATTCCTTATACTTGATCATAACAAAGGACTTGAGGGAAACTCGGCCGATCAACAGGGAATGCTTACTCCTCCCCGGCACCTGATCCCACTTCTAGATTTTCTGGGTGATATACGTATACGTGTTTTATACCCTATTCACATATCTACAATTATAGAGGATTATTTGTAGATCGATCACTGTTCGTAATCTTACCTATTTCATTTCTTCCTTCCAATTTAGTGAAAATAAAAGTAAAAATTATTCCCTTTCTTCCTTTTAACTTTTAAACTCGATTATTGAATTTTATTTGAAATTTTACAAATAACTAAATATCATTTGTAAATTGTTAACTGTCTGAAGTAACTGAAATTTTAGGGAATTAAGAATTACTTCATTGTTAAGACATTTAACAATTTCTTTGATTTGGGAAACAAGACATAGGGTGACAGGCGGTAGGACAGCTATGTGTCCGGATTGGCGGACAGACAGACGCCGGGTAAAGTGGTCCCTAAGTGTCACTGTCCTTTGCAGGCTTAAATATTTACCTCCCAATAATAGATTTTATTTCTATTGTACCATTATACACACGATTCGTCAGCAAAAACGAAATGATGATATCAATTCAATCTAATATTATTACTCTCTTTCAGTATAAACGCTTTATTTGTAAATAAATTAATTCACACATAGTGAATCAGAAATTGAGGGGTTTCCAATCATTTCCATTAGATCCGCTCCTTCTTTCTGAGTTTGGATTAGATGTCATGTTTTTCGAGTCCCTCCTCGCTGTGTTAATCAGAGGGGAGCCCGGCCGTGAGGACGTGGTGCTGGAATTCCCCGCCCCTCTCTGACTTGACTGTGAGGACTTAGGGCGAGTTGTGGAGCCGGGGCGACTAGAATTAGGTCGGAAGGATGAATGTCCGGAAATAGGGCGAGATGTTAGGTCAGAACTTGGCCGGGAAGTTTTAGGGGATTTTGTGTCACTGTTTTCTTGATGCTCTTTTAATTTTTGAAGTCCGGAAGCTGGTCGTCCACTCGCTCTCCTAGATCCGCTACCGATTCTGGAGTTTTCTGTCACCATTTCCTGGCTAACAATTTCGAGGTCGAGTTTTAACTTGGATTGTTCCTCTTCATCCAAGGAGTCGTCTGCCAGCTGTCGTTTAATCATCCGTTTCTGTTGAATTCGTTCTCTTTCTTTTGCTTTGTCTTTTTTGTCATTGTACACGGATTTGAGTTTTCCCTCTTTGAGTGCCTCTTGGAACAAGTCCACGCGCGCTCTAAATGTTGGATTGCCGTCCATTTTCCTCTGCATCAATCTCTGGAGTTTGATTCGAACACGTCCAATGTCTGTGTTTTCTATGTCAAAGTTCCAGTTCTTGGAGGCGTTGTGCATCTCTCTCTCCTTCAGCTTGTATTCTGACTTGGCTTGCATCACCTCCCTGTCAATAGCAAGATACAAGCCATTTACCAATCTTTAAGAATTTAACATTAAACATTTCCGTGTATTAAAAAAACAGAAATAATTTATTTTTTCTATATCTTAATAATTAAATAAAATCATGAGATATATTGTTTACATTAACCAGGTCTTTTTTTTTTTTAATTTTTTTTCAAATTTGTTTTTTATTACTGTCTATCCTTAGAATGGTGGTGATAAACACCACACACTCATCTTTGGATAACATCTAATCTCAAAACACCCACATCTTTAAATATTGGGTAGGAGTAGAGTTTATTTAAGTTACAAAGTACAATCATTTGTCTTTTTGAGCTCCTTCGCCCTCGTACATAACCTTAGACATATTGAGTACTCCAAAAAGGAACGTGTAATAAAAACAGCAAAAAATACCCCCAAGATTCCCGACACACAAATTAAACAGTTCACCCACAAAGTAACACTCTATGATCCCTCGATTCCCACCACACAATTCCTACAGGATATATATATCTACATGTATATAGATTTATTGTGTTACAGCAGAAATTGTTTTTTTTAAAACGATGTTTGATAAATTTTCCCATCAGTTAAATTAACAAGTAGATTATACCATGAAAACGTAACATATAGCAGTTTACATTTTTAAAAAAGTAAATATATGCAAGCGCATGTAGAGACTTTTATACAGATATTTGCAAAATTAAACAAGCCTACAAGAATACAACACTAATGCAATAGAGTTTGGTACAACATTTATTTATGCATCGTCTCAAGCCACGGGCCGGAGTCCGTATATGGCTCTCTTAAGAATGGAGAGAATCGTACATTTTGGACGTGGTGGTTTGCGATGATGTCATTTATGAAACAACAATTAAAAGCTCTGTTTTGACGAAAACTACATATAAATCTACTAATGTGCTTCACAAGAATAATCAAAACGTTTACAGAATCTAAAAATCAGCAGGTGTCTAATTATATTTTATAGCTGCAACACAATTATTAACCAAAAGATCAATCTCATGCTGAATAGTTACCCATGGTCTTGGTCCTCGTGAAAACTACTGTAAAATGGACGTCAATTGGTTATTGAGAGAAATTATGATGATTTGCTTTTTAACAAAACAACTAAGGCAAGACCACTGAGACTACTTTCTTTTCATGTATATGAATGTATGTTTATATAAACTGAAGAAATAAACACGGTGAAAATACCGTATAGTGATAGATCTCACAGAATCTGTAAACAAAACAAATTTGGCATAAAACACGCGGTACGAAGCATAGAAATCTTAATAGAAGGAACCAGGTGTCCAGGAGGTGCAAGCATCCCAAGTTGATGATGAACCAGCTGTGAACCTTATGTATTGATCAGGTGAAAGGTACATTACGTATTGAAATTCAATATAAAAACAAAGGCCTAACAATCGGTATAAAACTTGCCTACGTCTCCTAGTCACCTTATTTCTCCTCTAGTATCTGGGATTTTCAGGGGTTCGAGATTTTTGCCCCTATTCACAGATTTCTATTGTTAGACTTTTGAGATCGATTACTGTTCGTTGTTACCTTTCCATTCCATCACCTGCCTTAAATTAGATAAGCTTTTTTAAAATCAAATTCTTCACATCTAATTTAAGAAGTTCTAGTACATAGACCTCTTTTCTGATCATATTTCGCATCTCAAAATAGGTCGACTTACTTTGATTTGCATATTGCAAACCATTGCTTCAACTGAGTTTACTTACTTAAGATCAATCTCTCCGTCGCCATCAACATCCAGTTTTTGTATCATGAAATCCAGACAACGGTCGGACAGAGGGATACAGTATAACTAGAAAAGAAAACAAACCATGGAATCCAGACAATGATATTACAACTACATACAGTATAACTACAAAAGAAAACAAACCATGTAATCCAGACTTTCATATTACAGCGGGATACAGTATAACTAGAAAAGACAACAAACCATGAAATACACACATTGATATTACAGCTGGATACAGTATAACTACAAAAGAAAACAAACCATGAAATCTACATATTGATATTCCAGCTGAATACAGTATAACTAGAAAAGACAACAAACCATGAAATGCACAACATTGATATTACAGCTGGATACAGTATAACTACAAAAGAAAACAAACCATGAAATCTACACATTGATATTACAGCTGGATACAGTATAACTACAAAAGAAAACAAACCATGAAATCAAGACATTGATATTACAGCTGAATACAGTATAACTAGAAAAGACAACAAACCATGAAATCTACACATTGATATTACAGCTGGATACAGTATACCTAGAAAGGGAAACAAATTTCCATACTATAGGTAAGCATTTTGATCTAAAATTATGATGTTACAGCAGAGTATTGGGGAAATTATAATATACCATGAAGTAACTGATGATATAATCAGTAATGGCCTTATTTCACCTGTTTTCAAAATGGAGTACAACTTGCAGCAAAAATTTGTTTTAAACTTTTATTATTAAGAACTATATCCTAAATCTTGTACAGGATGTGATGATGAAAAATATCCAGACCAGAAATTTCTGTCTAGTTTTCATATATTAAGAATAATTAGAGAGTTTGAACTAAATTATAATGTAAAGATGAAAGAAAATTAAATCCTGCCCACCCCCCCCCCCCCCCCCCCCTCAAAACAAAAAAAATCAAGAATAGATGAGAACAACATCAAAGTGAAGTCAATCATTGAGAAAACCTCATGAAAGTTAGATCCAAGTTTAAGGAAATGGATGATTGTAACAACGCCGGTAAGAGTATCAAGTGTATTTAGAAATCTTAAATTTGAGTTAAGAATTTCTGCATATAACATAGCATTTATAGCCAACTGACGTTCAGAGCTGGTTAAAGTTTGCAAGATTGACTGAAAGGAAGAGGGAAAGAAGTGGACACTAATTAACACAAAATGGTAGTTCTGAAAAGACACATTTATTTAAATGCAACTTTAAATAAAAATAGATATGCATTTGGGGGTTTTAAAAACCCAGATATAAAACAGGAAAAGTCTCAAGTATCCTGCGAAACTTACAAAATGGTAGTCAGAAATTTCTAAGCATTAGGTTCTTAAGTAAGTTATTAAGGACAATGATAGGAAAACACTTGGAGTATAACATTTTAGGATTTGTTGCCATAGTAACTAAAGTGAAGAATGTTGGATACTTTTGACTCAAAAATTTTTTTGAATATATGCTGATTAAAATATTGTATAAAGTGTATATGGAGCTTTTGTTGTCAATTATCTATCTGTCTCTAGATTTGTGACATATATTGTGAATTCATTTTAACTAATCAATACATATTACGAACATATTTGTAATTTAAAAAGGCTATTTTTAATGTAACGAAAGCTCAAATCGTCTGCATTCTATACACAGGTAAGCAAACAAATTTTACCTCTGGTGTTAAATGAAACAGCGTAATCGAGACATGGTGACCTAATTTGTTTCTCTATGGAGGAAACGATTATCCTTAATTTAGCGTTTGTACCATACATGGTAGAATAGAAATAAAGTCCTTGTTGTCGTGAATGATGCAGAATAACCTCCTCGGTCTCGAAATGTTGTTAGAAATATGAAAGCCTCGGCTAGCGCCTCGGCTTTTATCTTTACAGAAAACAACATTTCTACACCTCGAGGTTATTCTGGATACATTCACGAAAAAAACAAATTTCCATTTCAAACACCATGTATAACTAGAAAAGACATCAAACCATGAAATCAACACATTGATAATACAGAAAAGGACATACTATACAACTTTTGGATGCCAAAAAAACAAAACAAAAAGAGAAAAAAAAATTCTCTCAGTCACGTGATATCAACATGGTATCACAGTCCTTTCTTGAGGAAAATTATGCTTAAAATGAATACAGGAATTCGTCTGTAGGTATAAAAAAAAACTTAATAGATAATGTCAATCAGTTAGGACCTAAAATATTTTTTTTTAAATATCAATATCAGGATCTCTGTATGAACAATGATTTCAACAAAATAATGTTGCTAATGACCAATTACAAGATGCGAAATAACGAATTTCATCATTATTACAAAAGCAGCTGTTCATGATATCAAAAAGCCTTGACTTTGATTTAATTTAGTATTTTATTTAAAAGTGTTAAAAAGTCGTACGTTTTGATGTTATTGATTTTGGTTGTTTTCAAATTTCTCTTTTAAGTTCTTCAGACATTTTAATTAATTATGTCTCACCCTTAGTCCCATTTTAATCTCGGCTTTGTCCAGTGACATGCTCTTGTCCTTGTCAAACGTGGACAGTAGATCCACCGGCCGGAATCCCATCAGGCGCGCGAACTCCATCAGGACCAAGGTGGGGTTCTCCTGAATCAACCCGTCTTCGTCCTGGTCTCCGTCCTGGGGGTCCTGACCCCGCACCATACCATACAGGATTTTTATCCCCCGCTCCGAGTCCAGTTTGTGTGCCGCCTCCGTAAACGACGGTTCCACCAGCTGAGTCTAAATTAACAACCAGAGGCATGGCTTAATTAATTTCTATGACTTTTTTCTTGTAATTTGATATTAAAGTTCTATTTTTAAAAAATCTTAATTTAATCTCATGGATTTTACAGGTGCGTGGAATAATCATGCAAGTAATATGTCAATATATGCATTGTAGTATGCATTGATATAATGGGTTTAGCTATGATGAGGATTTGTTCTATATCTGCTATGATATGCAGACCCAAAGTAGCGCCTCACGTGTATATCGATTTCCTTCAGTCCTACATCCGGGCGCTCCTCGCACATGTTGAGCACCAACTGCGCTCCTGGTGACGTAATAGGATTCCAAGCCAACTACAAAAACAACATTGCTTTATCAGAGATCGATACCGATCACTTTGATACGGGACTGAGTCCCACGCCCGATTAGACCTAGTTCACCCACGTGTTATTAGATTTTATAACTTGAAAGACCAATGACGGCAGTATCGTGTTTTTTTTTATTTCTATAATGACATTTTTACGTACATTCTAATATGCGCTTTTTTCATGACAGTTTTTCTTTCAAAAATACAGTTGATTAGTAAAGCATTCAAATAAATATACAAAGGCCTCTCATTTTGATTTCTATTTCACAACATATTCATTAACTAAACAAACAGAATGAGTAACGCTTAATTTCTATTCTTGTGTATCAATTTTTTTTTCTTTTGAATTGACTTTTTATTACCGAATTCTTTTGTTTTTAAAATCATCGATCTAATGTTTCAAGTAAATAATATAAACTTAATTTTTTTTACTACTTTTGACATTTAAGCTATGTTTTGAAAAAAAATATCTTTTTTTTTCAACTGTAAAAAATGCATTTTAAAAAAGAAATAAACAATGGTGATAGACAAACTTGTGGAACAAGTGATTACAGCATTAGAGATCAAAGACGTGGCTCTAGTGTTTGGAGAGTTCTGTAAATTTTTTTCAGTCCTCGTTGAGAGTTATGCTTCTTTTCCTACTATCGGTTTTCAATCGATACTTATCTGATTTACTGTAACACCCCTCCCCCCTGAATGTTCTGAGGTTGGATTTACTCTGACCCCCCCCCTCCTTCTGAGCGTTATGAGGGTGGAGTTCTGTGTGATTTACTGTGACCCCCCCTCCTCACCTTTAACGTTCTGAGGGTGGAGCTCTGTTATATTTACTGTGACCCCCCTCCTTACCCTGAGCGTGACACTCCCCCCCCCCTCCTTACCCTGACCTTGGAGTTCTGTTTGATTTACTGTGACCCACCTCCTTACCCTGATCGTTCTGAGGGTGGAGCTCTGTTATATTTGCTGTGATCCCCCTCCTTACCCTGAGCGTACTGAGAGTGAAAATTTGTTTGATTTACTGTCACTCCCCCCCCCCTCCTTACCCTGATCGTTCTGAGGGTGGAGTTCTGTTTGATTTACTGTGACCCCCCTCCTTACCCTGAGCGTTCTGAGGGTGGAGCTCTGTTTGATTCACTGTGACCCCCATCCTTACCCTGAGCGTTCTGAGGGTGGAGCTCTCTTTGATTTACTGTCACCCACCCCCCTTTCTTACCCTGATCGTTCTGAGGGTGGAGTTCTGTTTGATTTTCTGTGACCCCCTCTTCTCACCTTTAGTGTTCTGAGGGTGGAGTTCTGTTTGAATCCTTTCAGGAGTTTCTCCAGACAGTCTTTGTTGATCCTGTTACAGTTCAGGTTCAGTTCTTGTAACTCTGTGTTGACTACCAGGGCCTCCGCCAGCTGTTTACAGCCCGCCAGATGAAAACCATTCCATGACACGTCCAGCACCCGTAAACCCTTGTTTTCCTTACAAGGGAACAATAAAAAAGTCCATGTAAACATTAGGTTATATTAGAGGCAGAATGGTAAATTTATCAAAAATATTTATGTTTGATTTTCAACCTCATTCAATCACGTAAATTCAAATACATACTTTATAACTTGCATGCACATATCTTTGCAAAAAAATAATTTTTATGCATCAGCTAGAATAGTGCATGTTATAAAATAACATTTCTTTCCTTATATACGTATATAATAAAAGTGGACACTGCGTATAAATAACTATACTTGTTGCGATGCACAGAAGTATAATTAAATGCTTATTTAAGGAAAAATATGTTTAGGCATATCCAAAAGTACCATTCCCGATCAATGTTAACAATATGTGGGCAGCTTAATATCAATCAGTTGTAAAATTAATTCCACCAATTCTTCAATACTGTATTCTTTAAAATACTTTTTTCTTGTGAAAGATATGAATAAGTATGAATATAAAGATGACATTTCATTAAAGATCATGCGAATGGCCTGGCATTGAAATTTGATTTCGAGAGGGATAATTTTTCACCTGTTGCTTACCTCGAGTCCTATAGCGAGTTCTTTAGCACCTTTATTACGTAGATGATTCCAGCTGAGATCAAGCACTTCCAAAGTATCATTGAATCCTAAATAAAACAAGAGGTCTATGGGCCACATCGCTCACATGAGTAGCTTTGACCATGCTGTTTTTACAACCAGATTTCCCCCTCGATATACCTTCTGTGACCCCACCCTACCCCATGGGTCACAATTTGAACAATTTTAAATCTACCCCAGGATGCTTTGGCATAAGTTTCAGCTTTTCTGGCCTAGTGGTTCTTGAGATGAAGATTTTTTAAACATTTTTCCTATATATTTATACATGTAAAACTTTGATTCCCTATAGTGTCCCCGCCCAACTCCTGGGGTCATGATTCGAAAAGTTTAGAATCTACACTACCCCAGAATGCTTCCAAATAAGTTTCACCTTTTCTGGCCCAGTGGTTCTTGAAAAGAAGATTTTTTAAAGATTTTTTTCTAAATATTTCTATGTAAAACTTTGTTTCCTTATTTGTGGCCCCGAGCGACCCCCGGGGGTCATGATTTGAACAATTTAGAATCTATACTTCCCCAGAATTCTTTCGCATAAGTTTCAGCTTTTCTGGCCCGGTGGTTCTTGAGAAGAAGATTTTAAAGATTTTTACTTTATATTTCTATGTAAAACTTTGATTCCCTACTGTGACCCCGCCAAACCCCCGGGGGTCATGGTTTTAATAATTTAGAATCTACACTACCCCTGGACGCTTCCACATAAGTTTTAGCTTTTAAGGCCCAGTGGTTCTTGAAAAGATTTTTTAATTACTCCACCCTATTTTTTTCTTTTCTTGATTATCTCTCCTTGTGAGTTAACTTGGCCCTTCATTTTAACAATAAAAATTTCCCTAACCCAAAAATACTTTGTACAAAGTTTGGTTAAAATTGGCCCAGTGGTTCTTGAGAAGAAGTCGAAAATGTGAAATGTTTACAGACGGACGGACGACTGACAAAATGTGATCAGAAAAGCTCACTTGAGCCTTCGGCTCAAGTGAGCTAAAAAGAAACACCTTTAATGCTATCATTAAACATTTGTAATTTAAAGAGAATAAAATTGAATAAAATTTTAAAAAAAATCAATAGAAATTGCCACCCAGGGGTTTTCTGGAAATAGATTCTTATTGCTAACAAGGTCATTATATCAATCAAAGAAATTGTGTTGAGGTAACTTTTGAAAAGACTGCATGTTTATATTCTAGTTTCATAAACTTGCTTGTGAAGAGCCTGCCCCGTTTTAGAAATTGTTCGTATGTAGAGCATGCTCTTGCGTACTGGACCAACTGTGAGGCATGAATTACCGATTGCTGATTGCTATGTCTTCATTTAATACTGCTTTATTTCTACCTGATGAATACCTTAGTCTATGGAAAATTACCAGTCATCAGGGGATGTTTATTCTTCAAAGGCATCTGATCCCCTAAGAAATTTTCAGGGTCCATTTTATGCCCTCTTCACAGATTTTGTTTGTTTACTAGTTGTTTTGGTTCGATCACTGTTCTTTATCTCCATATTCTCCTTACATAAGTATTTTAGTCAATTTTGCTTCATATGAATACAAAAATGGTCTGCTAGTATATTGTTATAACTTTGTAAAGTCCATTAGGTTATCGCTGTAAGGAAAAGGTAAACGTTAAATTATGAAGGACATTTTTGTCTATTTCTTTCTATGTATCAAATTACTATTATATAATGTCAGCTCTAACAATCCTTCATAACGCTATGTTTCCTGAGTTAATTCTTAAAGTGAACTCTTCTATCTGATTTTGTCACATCTGAAATACGTGGAGACAACAAACAGTATTCAAGCTCAAAAGTCCATCAAAACATTACAAAATAGGAACGGAGCAAACACGGACATTCAAAACATCAGAGGTGGAATCAGGTGCCATGGAGGAGTGAGCATCCCCTGCTGACCGGTCACACCCGCCGTGTGTTCCTTGTCATGATCGGAAAATAACGGGAAAAAATCCATGGATAACTCAGTGTGTAAATAATGGCCTTACAATCAGTATGAAAAAGTCAGCTATAACAACCCTTCATTTAATGTATTAAAAGAACATAGTTATAATAAACACTTTTGTTATACCTTCAAATATTGTGTCCTTTATAATTCGATACTAAAAAAAGTTTCACTGAGCGGGCATAAAAAAGCCGATTTTGACCGCAAAGTGAGATGTTGGACCTGTCGATGAGATGTAGGACTATTTGCGTCACAGGGTTGGTGGGGTCAGCTTTATCTTATTAAAATTCGACAGAACCGTAATTACGGTAGTGCGGGTATAATGGAAGTTTACATTATGAAATGTCAAAATAAAAAATAAAAGGGATAACAAAGCATTTATTGACTTGTGTTTTGGGCAAATTGCTTACGCCTCAGGCAAACAATTTGGTTCTTAGTTCCGACAAAACACGTTGCCTTTGAACCCAGTCAACAAATGTTTAATATTTTACCATTTATCTTTTTTATGATTGAAAGATAAATCATTCACCTTTATTTAAGCAATGACCCTTTATCATCATATCCTTTGCTATGACCTTAGATCTATACATCTGAAACTATCGTTTTAAGTTTGTTTCTTTTGTTCTGTATTGGGACCACCAATCAAAACTCACCGATCAGCTCTCCGAAGATTTCTCCGCCAATCTCCCGGAACTCATTGTGACTCAAGATTAACCGCTTTAGATGCTGAGTTTCCTATGAATACACGAGTCATAGACACAATAGTCAAAATAATCAATGCTGTAAAAGAATAAATATTAAACTGCATCTCTTTTAAACTTCTAAAAAAATGAAATTTTAAAAACATTCCAAGATGAAAACATATGCATGTAGACCTCATAATGGATACGTTTCCTACCTCAAATATTCCTCGGAATTCCTCGGCATCTTTCTCCTTTAATCCAGTACCTTTTTAAATCAAGTATTTTATATTAGTTACTTGTCAAGTTACATCAAAATTTAAGACTTTATCAAGTCTTAACATATCTGAAATATGTCAGTCAACATTGGACCTAGCAATAGAGTGAATTATGTAAAAATGCCAATGCATCGACAATAGAATTTGCGGATTTCTGAATTCCTTCGCTCATTAACTTATTTGTCAGTAGCTTGTCTCGATTTAAAAATTCTTCGTACGTAAAAAATGCTCTTGCATTGAAACTACTGGAAGAACTAACCCCATATGTAGGGATAATGGTCTATTGCTAGACAACTAAGGGAAGTTAATGGTAGAAGAATGGTGTGTTCCCCGAATGGCTACTCGGAAAAAACAACAAGTAATTATCACACTCAATTAAGGGGCCCTCTAAGGGGTACAGGTAGACTTACCTGTGTTTACCTGGATAACCAATATTTTATAAATCAGATATATTCATTCAATTTTATTTTAATTAAGAGTTTTTTTTATTTTCCGAAATATACTGAATAAAAAATAGATAAATAAATATAAGTAGATGAAATTAAGATTTAAGAGAAATAAAATTTTTATTATTTTTTTTCCAAACTATTCAATAGTATTGATTGATTTGAACATATTTTATATTACTTTTTTTTTAACATATTTTATTGACAAAGTCAAAAGGATCGGACACAAGTTCTGTAACTTAGATAGTCCTCTCCTAATATAACATTTTGTAAAATTGCCAAACATATATACATATGGTCTACTATATACATTGTATACATTGTAGCAATAAATAGGAATAAATTCTTTAAATATACAAAAATAATTTGAGATGTTGAGAAAAAACTTATTTTGAAAAACGACCACATTCATTTAAGAAAGTTTGAATAGTCATAAAAAGTTCAGCATTTTGTTCGAAAGTTAAACAATCATCGCCCCATAGTATTAAATGTACATCTATAATATGTAAATAATTTAATGACAATAGCTTATTCATTAAGGAATTTCTTGCTTTTACATAATGTTTACAAACAAAAAACAGATGATATGTATCTTCTAGTAGTCCACAAGAACAATTAGGACTGGTAATTAGGTTACAGCGATATAAATCAGACTTTAAAATACAATTGTGTCTTAATCTTGTATGAGTTATGTTCAAAAACCTTTTTCCATAAGAAAATATTTCTGAGGTTTAACATTACTATTTTGAAGATAGTTTTTGAAAATTTTAATAGAAGTTGCCTCTCTTGTTTTTAGGCTAAGGGAATTCCACTTTCTAACGGTATCGGGAATAAATGATTTATTGTAGAGTTCTAATCTATATTACTATATTTCATATTACTAAATAATATACAATGGGATTGGGCACAAGTTCTAAAAACTTAAATCGCCCTCTCCCTACATGAGATATTATAACAGGATAAATTAGATTATTGATTGAGAATTTACAAATTGTTATCCCCTTTTTGTGCTACATTTTCAAACTCTTTTAAATAAATCAATACAAATTATTTTTTTTTCTTAAAATAATATAGATATTTATGTATGATAAATAAAGTGTTTGTATAAAGTTTTGTCTAATTTAATTCATTTATTTATCATTTTTAATTATCATAACATTTTTTTAAATCATCATAAAAAACATAAGTTTATGTTTCAAAATTATACAGATTCTACATCTGAACGTCTTCACCTTGGATAGTGATTCCTTACATGTAATTCTGATGAAACATATGGAGATGGACTAAATAAATTGTAAATATGTGTGATATGAAAGTAAAATAGTGCTATTCAATATATACTGTGAAAATCAGTGCTGCTAAACAATAGAACTTAAAGATAATTTATAGTTTTTAATATGTTTTGTGCTTGTAAAATTATATATTTAAAAAAGTGTGTACCGTATACAAAATATTTATTCATACTAGTGCTCAAATAAAAAAATGAATTAAAAATCCATTTTATTTTATTTAAATTCTGGTAGATTATTCATACAGGTAAGTCTACCTGTACCCCTTAGAGGGCCCCTTAATCGAGTGTGATAATTACTTGTTGTTTTTTCCGAGTAGCCATTCGGGGAATAAACCATCTGGAGACATGCTTTGATCTTAAAATGTTATTAAATTTACGTTATATAAATTAATAGATTGAAATTCTTCTGGTTTATTCCCCGAAGTGATTACATTGGAAATAATTAGGCAGGGGGATCAACTTTCTTTATCAATCCATTTGCAACATACACCTTCTATCTGGTGCAGTGTAATTTGTATTGGCCTTTAAATTACTGTAACATCTTTCTTTTTTTGCACAGGTAGGCCATAGCTTCATCTTATTAGAATACAATGCGTTCACTATATCAAAAATTGAATTATTTTACTATGATTAGTTCTCACCTGAGAGATTGAGACTGATAATGTTGTCTAGTTGTTCCACAACTTCCAAAATTGGCCTTATGCCTTCTATGCCCAGTTCGTTTTCTGCCACCGACTACCAAAAAAATGAAAATATAGGTCACTGAGAATTAGAATATAGGTCACTATGATTGAGAAAAGATGTCACTGTGATTAAGAGAAAAGGTCAAATTCAAATTTTAAAAATTACATTTTTAATGTTTAGCAATTTGATGTAATGAGGTCTAAGAATTTTTGTACTTACAAATTCTAAATAATTATCTGATTATGGTATAATTAAGTCGCACTGACAGAGAACAACTGATCATTTTCTTATTTATCTTTCTGTCCTTTAGTACCGATTGTTATCGATAGCAAGAATATGAATTATAACAAAACATTCAGATTTGCCCACGTATATGATTTACCATTATCAGGCGCGTAGCCAGCATTGAAATGAAGTGTACGCAGAAAATGGTCGGGGGCCTGGGGGCCACCCTGAAGCCCCCAGTAGGTCCAGGGCGAAGCCCTGGTGGGGAATGGGCGAAGCATCCGGAAGCTCCTGGATTTTACGAAATGTTTCAGTCATTTTTCTTTAAAAGAAATCACGCTACAGCTCTTTTCTCAAGCAAACACTTAGCTAAGTTATACTTCCATGGATACTTCAGGAAGAGAAGGATAATTTAATCAAATTAATTTACGAATATATTGGTGTTAGAAAAAAAGTTTCCAAGTGTGACAAGATTAAACAGAGAAGTTATTTAATAAGTTATCATTGGCGTTAAAGTATTTCAAAATATAAACGGGGGTTTGGGTCTTTTGATAACCTTTATATTCTGTTAGCTTAAACAGTGTGAGAGTAGTTAAATTCTATAAACTGGTAACATCAGTAAAATAAGATATTCATAAATGATTTATATTTACTTTGTTCAATAATTTGAATTTTTTTTTTTTTTTTTTTGTTTTTTTTTGTTTATCGGTATTTATTCATTACTTCAACAGTTATTCTTGTGTAGTCGTCCAAAATCCTTGTAACTTTTTCTTTAAATCAATGTCACTTAGATTGCTTTCCTTCATCAAATACATGCATTTCTCCGGATAATCAGGATTACGCGGATTTACAGTTGAAATTTTGATACAACAATATTTTCTTACTCAAGAATTTTGGAATTCAATTTATAAAAGACTTGATTATAACGATATATTCTGAACAAAATTTGAATAGAAACAATAAGACGTAAAATAATTTGAAAGACAGATAGTGCCTCTTTTTCTCCGAATAAATCTTTCTCTTTTATTCTGTTTTCTTTCTTTCTTTTCTTTTTTTTTTTTGAAAATGATGTGTACGCACTTGCGTACTTGCGTATAGGCAGCTACGCGCCTGAATTTATATCCGAGATGAAAATGATTATCCTGTTTTTATCATTTGAAGGTCCCTTTGGTCGTTATTTAAATCAGTCGTGCGGGGGCGAAAAGAGATAGCTGACGCAGTTGTCTCTAACATCTTAGAATCAAATCAGTTTTTTTTTATGAAAAATTCCATTGATTTCGTTATTTTTGCTTTGAATTAATAATAAATCAATAGATTGAGAATTAGTGTTTTAAAACATATTACATGCACAGGTGCTTGAGGACAGGACCCCCCCCCCCTCAATACAGACCCCCGGGCCTGTTAGACTTTTTTCAAATAAATTATATACGGATGACACATTTGTGATATAATCTATCCTATCAATTGAGAAAATTTGCTTAAACTTACATTTTATAAAAATATCTACCCTCTCTATATGTAAATTAAGAGAATGTAGGGTAGATTTAATAGAACGTTTGTTTTAGGTAATTTTTCGATTTGCTGGTATAGATCTTATCACAAATATGGCAATGAAAGATTTTTTATAAGAAAAAAATCGAAAAAGCCCAGGGGTCTATATCGAAGGGGGGGGGGTCCTGTCCTCAAGCACCTGTGATTACATGTATAATATTTTATGTCTAAGTATTACAGCTATATTTAAATTTATGTTCTAACGCACTATGCAAAGAAATCATCAATAGTAAAACAATTAATAAAATTCATATCGTCCAAGGCTACCAGCCGGTCTTTGATTAATTTAGCTCTGCGTGCTTTCATTGATATTTACTTTTAACTGACAATTATAAAAGAAAATACTCTGAAAAGGATAAAGGAAGCTTATTTCTGAGTAGAATAATTATTTATTGCGGTAATAAGGCGAATAGGCGAATCTTCTATAAATGACTAGACGCACGGTGTGTACACTACCATACATAGTCTCTGAATTGCTTTATTAATAAATATTTTGTGATATTTACCTAAACACGGTCATAAAAATAGTCCATTACAGTAACGCAAGTGTTTTCTTCTTTTCACACATAAGATTTTGCACAAATTCTGCTTCATATGAATACAAAATTAGGTCTGCTTATAACAGGGCGCAATTGGTACCCATGGGAATTCTAATAGACTGTTGGAAGTCTAAGTCTCCAAAAACAACATAGATATTGTCAATCAGAAACTTAAGCATCTTTTTGGTGTCAAATACAGAGTACTTGTGTGTGCAATCAGAATGTGTTTTAACAAAATAACTTTGCAAATGACTAATGACAAGGTAAGTAAATTTATGAGTTCCATTTTTATTGAAAAAAGAAGCTGTAAATGGTATTAAAAAGCCTGAACTTAAATTTATCGGGAGTGGTTGTGTATAAATTTGAAAAGTCGTAAGTTTTTAAGCTGTTGATTTTGGTGAAATCTTGTGCTTTCAAACTGTCCAAAAGTTCCTTGGAAGTTTTAAGTATCCAAATCTGATTTACACCACTTTTTGTCCCCCGCTTGAAAAGTATATTGTTGCACAGTCCGTCCGTCCGTCTTTCTGTCTGTCTGTAACGCTTTTTTCCACACGATATCTCGAGAACCCTTTGAGCTTTTGCAATGAAATTTAGCATAGCAACTCCCTATGGACTAAAGAAGACCCCTATTGATTTTGAGGTCAAAAGGTCAAAGGTCAAGGTCATAAATAAGCAAATTCTGTCTGTTAAAACACTTTCGTTTCCACACGATATCTCTAGAACCATTTGATCTATTGCAATGAAATTTTATATAGCAACTCCCTGTGGCCTAATGAATATATTGATTTTGAGGTGGTCAAAGTTCAAGGTCGTAAATTTATACATTCTGTGGTGTGTAGTTTATCATTTCCGATATTTCAAAAGATTTTGAGCTTATGCAAAATTTTATACCAAAACTCCCTATATAAAGTGCCCCGCCCCGTTTGTATTATTATTTATAGTATTACATGTCGCTATTTTTAGCGCAGGGGCATGAGGAGAGTTATTGCGTATAAAACAGGTTCTCGGCGGACTTTATGTTCTTGTTACATCTATTAGAACTGTTTAATAAAGGCTAAATAAATCAAACACCATGGATTGTGTAAAATTTTGACAATTTATATACATGTATGTGACTTTTCATATACTTCCAATTGTTTAAAGCAATGTTATCTACTGGTTATGTCGCTCGCTTCGAATGTGAGAGGTCCCGGGATCGAATCGCGGGCGGTCCTTTTTTTTTTTTTTTTTTTTAAATACTTTTTTTTTTTTTACTAAATGATAGTATTCAGCATGTGAAATGAAAATTTTATGAGGTTATAAAATCATCATTACAGTGTGATAAACATTCCATATAAAAAAATCTTCTATACACATAATAAAGAATAAGCAATCAAATCTTTATATGCATATTGACATACATGTATTTTATTTGCTTCAAAATGTATACATTTAATAATTCTATATATTCAGTCCATTCTGCGGGGGACACGAATTCTCTGAATTAGCTTGTTAAATATATTGTTGCACAGTACTCTTGAAGTTTTTTTTCTTTACTACTGTTAATATCTTAGTGAGGTGTAACGAAAGAGGCTTGGTTGAACATTGACTGAACCCACAATGTATCTTTGTTTGTAAAGATTTTTATGAAGTTTCGGAATCCAATATAGATGTGGTAGTTCAAATTCATTTTGGTGCTTTAAGATATTAAAAATATTCAAAAATGCACATATAGATATGAAGAATTTCTTCCCTAGAAAGGGAGCTATAAATATAAGTTGGATTACCACTTGTAGAATTCAATCCAAGTTCTAAAATACAATTTATATAATAAGCTTTTCAAACGAAGACAATGTTATCTACTTTGTCAGCAGGGACCAGTAGGTACTAATCATGTAATCTAGATAATTCTTTTTTTCACTTCTGGAATTCACTGAATACAGAAGGATGGATGGTTTTATTTTGCTCCTAGTAAAATGGATACTATATACTACTCAGCAGGACTATAGTTACAGGGTGAAGAAGAACATGAACACGATGGAGGATTATGTTTAAGATTCTAGATATCCAGGCCATGTTAAGTAAATTCAATAGTCAATGTATATTTGTAGGAAATACAAGGTGTAGTCTTTAACTTGAGATATATGGTGGAATACAAGACTGGACCCTTTTGTGATTAAGAATATTACTTATATTAACAGGAAAGAATTCCAACACTATCGAATTTGTCATTACATCCATAAGGAAAGAATGTCCCTATTTTTCTAATCCAAAATTCATCAATAATCACAAAAATTAGCATATTCTGCAGTTGAAAAATAGGTAAAATCTTGTTTTAGCTTCTTCATATACTGTATACAGGGTTATTTTCGCCCCGTGTTATTTTCGCCCTTTTGCACTTGCAAACAATTTTGCCCCGTTTAAATTCGCCTAGTGATAGTTTTGTTTAAGAAAGTATGCTGTGTAATTTGAGCGCCGTTCTTCATATAGTAAAACGGGGGCGAAAATTTCCCTGTATTCAGTAGTCCATTTTTTAAACATTTCAAGGAAACCATATATAGTTTTGTAAGAAAGTGAAAAGGAAAGATCTTGTTAATTGAAGTAAGGCAGAAGTAAAATAAAAGACACATTTTGTAAAATTTGTTTATTGGAAAAATAGATGTCCATGACTATATTCACGTCTTGATAAAAAAAAAATATCCCGTCACATGCAATCATATTAGCACATTGTAGGCTTGAAAGATTTCGTTCATCAAAACAAGATTTCTATTGACCAAATACTTTCTAATCGTGATCCTAGAATTTTTAACTCTTCACTGGGTGATATAGATCTGTTGTAATTTTTATGTAAGATATAGGTAACAGATCCATCTTGTAACTATAACATACCAGTTCAGTTATGAAGTGGTTTTCTCGTAGAAGATCAGCAATATGGCGAGCACCATCCGCTCCGAGATTGGTGTCCATTAAATCCAGAGACGTCACTGTGGAGTTACTCTGTAACAAAATAACAGATAAATTTACAAAGATGGTTACTTTAATCGACTTGGTTTTCAGTTACTATTTATCTGTCTGACTGAAGTACTACTTTATTTTAGATGACTTTTTTCATACCAGTTATTATTCCTTTCTTATACTAACTTGACTACGGAACAGACATCTGATCAAAGCATATGGCTAATAGCGTTCGTGACCGGTGAACATTGGATGCCTATAGGCAGCTGAGCTCACCTGTGGAATTTCCAGGGATGTGTGTTTTATGCCCTCTTTGAATATTTTTATTGTTTATGAATTTTCAGATTGATTATTGTTCTTTATCTTTATTTTTTTTTAAATTTTATTCTATCCGTATAAAGTTTTAAAAGCAAGAACAAGGTACAGTTTCAATACAAATATAGCCCTGCATTTTTCTAAAATATGAAAGTGATATATGAAATTAAAATTAAATCTTTCTGAATCATAGGAATGTTCAAATTCCATGCAGTAAGAATACACAAATCGCATGTCTCATGTGACCTCCTAAATTGCATTTTCTCGTATTATGTTTTAAAAGTTGCAGAAGACATCAATTTTCAGTGGAATTTTCTTTCAGAAAACATTTCATGCTCAGCATGCATCTCCCACAAAGATTTTGAGGTATGTGATTTTTTAAAGCATTTTACATAATATATCCAAAAATTGAAGTCCACGGATGACGGTGGCAGACACTGTTTTCTAAAGAAAAATAAGCCCAGAAATGAGTCATTTTGAGGCTTTACTGCATTAAACTTAGAAATGTACCAAATTAATGATTTCATATTTCCAGAATGGCCTTTCTTCATGACATACCGGTATTCTTTAATGATTTATCATATTCATCTACTCAACTCTTTTAAAGCCAATTTCATAACTTTTCAAGAACATGAAATTTTTAGGGCACAATAAAGCCCAAACCGTTCCTTCTTTTTTAATTCATACTCTTTAAAAAGTTTATTATCTTCCGCAGTATTTTATATAGTTATTTTGAGGTTCTTGAATTAGCTCCAATTCTTTTCATCACATTTATAATGATGTTCCCATTTCAGGTTGTCAATAAAAAGGAGAAAATACAATGGTGGCATAGAAAATGTAATATAAAAACAGAAAGATGAAAATATTGTTCATATGGAACTTTCTCACGATCACAACAGGAGGAAAATACATCACCTATAGACGACGATCGATTTATGTAATGCTGCTGTCTTAGTTCTCAATAATCTATATTTTTTAAGTCTTCATACAATACTTATCAGTGAACATGGCATAAAACACGAACACTTTGGAAATCCAAGAGGCATGATCAGGTGACCAGAATGAGTTAGCATCCCTTGTTGACGGTACATTAGCCTTGAACCATTTCGTAGTCAACTTAGTTACTAACAAAGGTCATACATCTGGTATGATTTAGTTACTGTTGGGTTACAAACAAGGTCATACTCTCATCTGGTAAATGATAAATGATGTTGAAATCCCTGTAACTTTAACCTTTTTGCCTGTAGTTTGTGTCGATATAATTTAATTCTGGTTGTAACACTGTACTTGATTGGATAAAAAAATTATTTCATATCCTATAAAAGGTCGTTGAAATGACTGTCAAAAACGTTCTAACGTAATTCAAATTTTGACAAATAAAGTCATTTTGTTGAAATCCCTTTTTTCTTACATCAAATGAATGAAAATTAAATTTTAACCTATTGGCCTGTAGTTTGTCTAGATATAAAAACTGTTCGTGCTCAAAGCATGCTCTTAGGTATCGAATAAGTTTGAAAATCTAGGTAACTTATTAAGGTTATCATAATATAGCTATATAAAATAAGGGAAGTTGACGATGGAGAAACTGAAGCAATCTCATTTATCATACAGTTTATTTTGGTTGGTCATTGTCGTCTACAGTGAGTTAGATAAATAATTAAACATGTGATACAGACTCTGAGGTGCCTGTAAATTTGAGTTCCTGGGATATATCAAATCGATGAATGGAAGTAACTTTATATTAAAAATTGATAAAACGCCATTGGTTTTTCTAAATGTCAAGTTGAAGACCACGGCGAGTGTTTTCTTCTCAAGTAGAAGTTTTCGAATATATTACTATATATTAGTAGACAGAGACCCCTGTCAATAAAAAAGTTGAAGTTATCTCTTTTTTCATACAATTTAGTGATATTTGGGAATTAGTTTATCGAAACGAGACCCATGAATTCATGTTTTCATATTTAATTTCTAATACTAAGTAACCCACTTCATCTACAACGACAAAACCGAATCCCCATATGAACCAATATTTTTTTCAATAAGCTATGAAAATTTAACCTTATAAAAACTTGTGAATTGTCTATAAAAAAAACTCCAGCATCCTTTCAACATCAGAGTACAGTGTACTTATATGTAGAACCAGAGTGAATTATAACATGAAGATGCTTTTGGTACTGTAAGAGAAAATACACGACACGATTGATGTTAGTTTTGTTTCAAGAATTTGAACATTCCATTTATTGTGGAGATCGGTCTTAGCGGGAAATTACTAAGTGCTGGAGATTTACGCACTTTGGCGCCATTGATTATGCATATGTTATAGCTAAGATATAAGAAAACTAATTTCTTCAGTTCGGCATTTGGTTTAGAAATGATTAAAAAAAATTAAATAATTTTCGGAAACAATATTTTACGTCGATATTGATAAGATGTACTTAAACAACATACGACAGAGACATTGTTATCACTTAATTGATTTTAACATTTCCATTTTACTGTCTTTAAATAGTGTAACTGCATGAATAAATATCCTATAACGATGATCGAACACCGTAGATGAAACTATAATTGGTTAATGTCCAAGACAGATTATAACAGTCTTGTAGTGACAGGCGGACAGAAGCAATGACGTCACACAGACAGGAGATACCCAGTCAGTCGGTAAGAAAATAGAATCTTTAAAAGCCACTTGTTATTTTTGGCTATCTTAATTTAGAGAAAATTACACGGTGTTCAATAGCAATGAAATAATCACTGTAACATTAATCGCTAAAAATACACAAACTGTAATTACTTTGAAAAAAAACTACTCACTCAGTAGAAATGTTTAGGTTGAAATATAAACTGGTATTATTGATTACTTATTTCTCTATGTCTCACAGTTTTAATTTCTTTGTCACTAAATGTGAATAAAAAAAATTGATAAAACATGATAGTTATTATGAGGTAGATCAAATTGATAGTTTTATAAATGAAATACATGTAGATAATCTTTCATTTATTCCCTTATTTTTTATACACATATTTTATTTATTTTCAATCTAACGTTGACAATGATTACATGACTTGTAATATCAATCGTGTTCAACTAAAGATTTTAAAAAAAATATCAATAAAAAGACACATAGTTGTGCAAAATCATTTTCTTGAAATCAGATATTTTCTATTTTTGGTGTATTGCAGCCGATGGAAAAGTGAAAGAAGGATGAAATTCCCTTTTATTATAAATCGAGCATGCTTTTTTCTTAATTCATTGTGTTTCCTATTCCCTTTCCAAAGTATATACAACTTAATGGAAGCTTTATTATCGATTACGAAACACGGGTGTTCCTAAATGTATGAATATTTAAGGACAGTTGATACTAACAATTTTTTTCTTTGAAATAGACTTAATATCATGTCACAAGTTTAGAAAAGTGGATAATTCTTAGCATTTTTTCTCCTAAGAACTGGAAAATGAAATAAACTTGGAAAATATTAGTAATATATCAATAAAAAAAACAAATATAGACAAATAACACACAGTAAAGGTTTACAGGTGAAAACATATTTCAGAATATGTTACCTTAGTGCTAAAAGTATAATATAAACTTCAGAAAAATATACCAAGCCGAGTGAATTTTATGAGGAAATACAAAATGACAAAAAAAATCAGCAATAACACATAGGCTGATTTTTACCATTTTGCTTTTCTTAATAAAATTCACCTGGCTTGGTATATTTTTCTAAAGTTTAAATTACACTTTTAGCACCAAGGTAACATATTCTGAAATTTGTTTTAATCTGTAAACCTGTACTGAGTGTGTTTTGTCCATATTTGTAATTATATTGAAATAGTACTAATATTTTCAAAGTCTATTTCATTTTCCACTTGTTAGGAGAGAAAAATTCTAAGAATTATCCACTTTTCTAAACTTGTGACATGATATAAGTCCCCTCCAAAGAAAAAAAATGTTTGTATCATCTGTCCTTAATAAATGTCCATTATATTTTATGTGGCCAACTTACAACTGCATTTTATGACAATCGATACATCAGTTTTTCTATCGTCAACTTTCCTTATTTATATGGTAACCTTATTGTGTTTATTTCTCTTTATTCGCTTCTTAAGAGCTTGCTCTAAGTACAATGCATTTTACACTTTCATTTGTTAATATTGCAGACTTCTCAATATCCTTGTAAATTCAACGCCCTTTTTAGTAAATATAACTCATCAGAGAGCTGCATTTTCGCTTACTTGTCTAAGGTTTTTATACTAAATTTGACTGCTAAAGCTATATATGCCGTATTAGTGTTTTATTTTAAAAGTAATAAATATATGTGGTGTCTCATCAAGTTATATAAGTTATATACTTTCTGCAAATAAGACAATTGAACTCCATCACTTTTAAAAGTTATAAAATATTATTCGGTAAAAATTATTTTCTCTCCGTGTCGGACCGCCTCTTATTGAAATATTCATGATCACGTTGACTCGCATGTTTACAGCAAACAATGGTCCAATCTCGTGAATGAACCGAAAAGCATGATGGTCTACTACGTTTTTACTACAAACACGTGAGTTAGGGATTGTCAATATTGAGAGCACCTAAGAGTTGGTTGCTTTTTGTACCGAGGAATAATCACGTGCAATTGTCTTTTCAATGGACATTTTCGGTTGGGTGAACTTCTACAGCTGTCAGCGACTATGGATAAAGAAGTGTGGAAACCATGTTGTGCCAAAATGAAATAACCAATACAAACAAATGATATAATTTGATCAATCAAAATGGTTATTAGATACATTCGATTCTGCATTTCTTAATGGTTCAAAACAACAAAAAGTATTCCACAGAATATCATGTATAAATCTGAACAATATACTGAATGCCAAAACCAGAATACTACTAAATAATGTAATTATATTCTTTACATATGAACCACAGTATTTCTGACCCCTTGAAAATAATATAAAAAATCTTGCAAGTAGGTTATCAGCATTGGCTCGAGCTAATTTGAAAGTGAAATTTGGAGTTTGGCAATAAATTGCAGTGAATGAATAAAATTTAGTACTGATAGATATTGGAACCTATTTTACTTGTCAGATTTCTTCGAGCTAGTTGATTTTTATTCGAACTGTTCTATCCCCACACCCACTTAAAAAAACCGATGCTACCTACCTGAATTAATTTTTCTTAATGGTGTTCATCGAAATGCTTGTTGTGCCCTCAAATTGGAATAGTTTTTAGAGGAATTCCTCGACCAATTTTATTTTATCAGCCCAACTATATTTCTAAGAAGGCAAGATGTATGGTATGTAAGTTTCATCTGCATATGTTATGTAGTTCATATTAAAAAACCAAAAGGGATTATTGACGATATCCAATTCAGGATGTAAACATAGTAGTTTAAATTACTTTCCATACATTGTACTTGACATAAAATATCATTTGCGAATAATGCGCTCCATACTGAAGATCCGTAAATGTTCACCCAACCGAAAATGTCCACTAGCAGTACAGCACGGGGAAACTCTAAACAAACGGACCTGTACAATGGAGTGTGGAAAACTTTAATTTTAATCATTGTTAATCATTTGTATGCAAATATGAGCATGGGATTAGTTGATAATAATGTACATAATGCATCAAGTATTTCTGAGAGCGATTTAAAAAACTAGCCTTTTTGAAAAACACATGTAGTATTTTATGTAGTAACCCATAAATGCAACTCATTGAGCTGATTGGTCTATCTGTGTCCCTCACTGAACAGACGTCACAAAAAATATTTTCCTTGACCTGATAATTCTCGCGATGCTTTTCCCGCGCACATGCGCAGATCCAGGATAAACGTCAGTCCTTTATAAATATGCATGAGAATATCGTGTTGTTTTCCTGATCAGTACTTTGTTAATACCGAATAAAATTTCGTCGAATTTGCAAGAATGCTTTATTTTTGGTAGCTCATCATACTCCAGAAATTTTTGTTCGGTTTCAGCTGTGCAAAAATACTGTTTAACACGGCATACATATCTTTAATGTTTCGCTTGCTTGCTGAATACATGGAGCTCAGGCCAGTCCGGGTGGTTGTGATCAGTCAACAGGAGATGCTCACCCTTCCAAGACAGGTTTTATTGTTTATATATATTTAATATCGATCACTGATCGTTATCTTTACGTTTTATTGATTGGCCAATTTGGCAAATATCAGAAGAGTCTTTCCAATCTACCTTTTAATTTAAAAAAACCTCTGATATATAATTTACATGTATTGGCAGTTGTGAAGGCCACAGTAGAAAAGTACTAGTACATTATTGAATGTTGTGATGCCAATGAATATGTTGATATTCTTTGAGACAATCCCCCACAATAATATAAGCTTCATAGACGAGACGTCAGACAACTTCTATCAGGATGTCTTAGGCTCAGGTGAGCTAATTACTATCTAGTATCAGAACATACCAGAAGAGCCATACAGCAAGCTTTTGTTCCGTCTGGACCGAGGAAGTGATGACGTAATTGGATTTTTTCATCCCCCAGATGACGTATGAACGTTGACGCTGGAATTACGTCAAGGAACTTACAGGACCTGATGTACAGCTCCTGACACGGGGTGCGTTTGATTACGGTCTTGGGGTCTGTATCCTCTTGTATGTCGGCTGCAATCAGTGAAAGGAAACTTTACTTAAAATGATGAGACTATGATGGAGAAAATATATTTCATTACAGAGGATTCAATGGAGTCTCCCATTAAAGGAATATTTTTTAAATTACATGTATGTTGTTGTACAACAGTAAAAATATCAAGTTTTTTAATGTTTTTTGAAGGAGGAGGGGCTTGCCAGAAGATTATTGATCTGGATATATTTTATTGGTCATCCCCACTCCAAGTCTCTTTTCTCCTAAAAAATGTATTTAATCAATCCATGGAAAATATTATGCACTGAATGAATATTATTTCCACTGTAAGAAAAAGAAAGCCAAACAGAAAGAGCTAATTAAAGCTTGAGGATTGCAAGAAAACACCACCACCAGCACAGCATAGGGAAAATTATATCCCTCCCGACACCGCAAAAGATATACATGGATACAAACTTGAAGTCACAGATTCTGGGGGCGGATCCTGAATCAAGACATCAACTTTGGGTGTGTTCGATAATTTTTCTTCTGCCTTGTTTTCTTTTTCTATAATGATTGTGTAACTAAAGATGAATAATTATGTAAATTTAAGTTAATGCTTAGAAATAAGGGTCCACAAAAAAGCATACCATCGTAATCAAAATCGTCTGGGAATTCCTTGTCGAAGTCGATGTCGGACGTGCCGTGACTGTGGTTAGACTCTCCGCCCTCGCTTTCAGCACGAGACTCGGGGCGTCGCTTCCGCTTAAAGCCAAGCACGCCCTTAAATCTCCGTGTGACGGGGTTCTTACACTGGCGGTATTTGGTGGTTAGGGTGTAGGACTCGCAGATAACAGGTCTGTTAGCCAGGTTCCATGTGTCAAACTGAGTAAGTAATGCACAGATCATTAAATAATGTTATGCTGGAAAAAGATTTATTTTTGCAAATCTCGAAAATTGGTAAAAACTTAATGAAAAATACTTATTGAAAATAAATTAAATGAAGATGTATTATAGTATTGTTCCTGTGAAATGGACGATTTCGTGTTTTGTTTAAAAAAAAAGAAGAAGAAAAAGAAGTAAAAAAAAAAATAACCATAATACAATGAAATAGTACAGATTTCTCGTTTTCAAACAAAAAAATACCAGTGACTTTTCGGCATTGACTTTTTAAACAATTGAACTGGGTATTTAAATTTTAAATAAGCATATGAACCGTCAATGACGTTAGTTAAATGCAGGTGAATTTTTAATCTACTTTACTCAAATATAAATGTAAGATTATGAAGTGTTAAATCTTGGTTTCAAGAAATATTTCTTCCATCCATTATATTTACCTGCGGTGCTTCATTTGCCCCAAATAAATTGGAAGATGGAAGTCGCATGGACATTACTGTAATTCACTCGATTAACTCCATTGGCTTATAAACATTATGTCCCACACTGTTTTCAATTACGTCGTTATTGTGATTTTTAAAGTTTCCTGTAAAAATAACATCAGTTTGCAAATATTATTAATCATTACTTCACTTGTTTTCATATTGGAAATTTAATCTCTAGTTTTTCAACAGAGAATATTGAAAGTTTATAATTTGTTTATAGTGCAACCGGAAAATTGAAAACTATGCTGATTAAATCAAAACAATGAATTAAATGTCGTCGAGACAAAGAGCGCCGCCATGTGTAGCAAGCAGTCCGTTTCACTCGCTTTATTTTGAATTGAATCTACATTGGACAACTCTACGACAGACAAATGTACATCCTAAAGTTATAAACACAATATTGATTTTATTAATAAAACAAAATTGATACCTTATAATCATCAATAATAAATTATTTAATGTCGACAAAAACTCACATAAATTCTTTTTTATTCAATTAGTAAATTATAAGTCTAGAATAAACCCTGCACAAACATTGATGAAATGTGTGACAAAAACCACATTTTTAAACCAAGAGTTTGACCCCCACCCCACTCCACCCCCTCCCGCACGCGTTCTTCTTGGTTGTAGGGCGAAGGGTAAAAATTGGCGAAATACAAAAACAAATGCAAACTATTTTGATAATATGAAAGTAAATACTTACCGATTCTTATAGCTATTATGGCTATCCCCTCAGTTGGAGTACGAAAGAGTTTAGTGTATTAAAATTCTCTCTCGCTGTTTGCAGTAGGGTGATTAAATCTGCGTTAATCCTGATAAGCCCATGATTATCCCTCTAAACTCTCGCAACAGATCTCTGAGCAGGCGGTCCTGGTTTGTCAGGCGGGGACAGCCGTCTGGGAGACGAGCCCTTTTTATGTAATAACATTTTCTAGGTTTAGGGATCTGTAAAGCTTGTAGCACGATCATTAAACATTTTCGGCTTTACTTATGTAAGATTGAATAATATTGAAAGATTTAATATTCTCAGCTTTACTGATGTAAGATTGCGATTAAGTAGTATACTTGACGCTTTCATATGATTTATTTTTTTTTAAGTGTAGCCATTAATAAACTTGAATTGTTCAGATATAAATATCTGACGCGACTATAAGTAAATTTTATACCTGTATTCCCTTCACACTCAGGTGTCTTAGAAAACAATTACGATATACAAGTAAATAACAACCTGTTAAATCTATAAAAATTATTCCACTTCATTTATGAGAAGGACTGACGTGCATGATACTTATGCCTCGATGCCTAATGAGGCAATATCGAAATCTTATGATGTCGGGTACATGCAACATCAATCGGCCAAATTTTGGTTAAACGGTCCGTCGACCTCCTCTCATGACAAAAAATATTTAATTTTGTTTACAATTCGCCCAGGAAACAGAAGTGATACATGTCGCGATTGATTCTTTTGAGATATTATGTGTATAAAACATGCTTACGTGTGGTGACTACCACTTAAAAAAAAAATTACATGTATCAGTTTAAGTTAAAATTTCGTGGGGGTTGCGCCTTCAAATTGACTTTATTCAAACGAGGGATATTTAATTATGAGATGAATTTGCATGCAACTCTCCAATATAGAATGCGAACCCGTTTAATATAAACAAGGCGTCAATTAAATATCGGTGGCGGATCCAGGAATCTTGAAGGGGGTTGACCAGTTTTGGTCGGAGAAGGGACCCCCAGCCACACCAAAAGAAATTCATTTATTAAATCTTATGTATGTCTTGGACACAACCCCCCCCCCCCGCCTCTTCTTAATCCGTCGTTACCTCATTTTAAAAGTTGTAAAGCAATTCATTTCAATTCATTTTTTTCGTACAAAATACAAAGCCCTGTATCAGTTTTTTTTTGTGTACAATTACAATTTTATAAGAATAGAACCATTACCCTAAAACCCTCGACAAAACTATTTTATTTCATTAAAAAACATCTATTCTTCTGTATTCAATAATCCAGTAGTGATAGGTTACATGATCAGTACGTACTGATCCCTGCTGACAAAGCAGGTAACAACATTGTCTTCTTTTGCAAGGCTCATTATATAAATTGTATCTTAGAAGAACTTGGATTTAATTCTACAAGTGGTAATCGAACTTATACTCATAGTTCCCCTTCTAAGGAAGACATTCTTATGTCATTTTTGAATATTTTTAATATCCCAAAGAACCAAATGAATTTGAACTACCATATCTATATTGGATCCAGAATCTTCTTAAAAATCCTTATAAACATACATAGCGGGTTGCAGTAAATGTTCAACAAAGCCTCTTTCTTTACTCCTCACTAAGATATTGACAGTAGCGAAGGAAAAACTTCAAGAGTACTGTGCAACCATATATTTAAGGAGTGGTGAAAATCAGATGTGGATATACTTAAAAATTCCAACGAACTTTTGAGATCACAAGATTTTACCAAAATCAACAGCTTAAAAACCTACGACTTTTCAACTTTATACACAATCATTCCCCACGATAAATTTAAGTTTAGGCTTTTTGATATCATTGTAAGTTGCTTTTGCAATAAAAGTGGAACTCGTACATTTACTTACCTGGACATTGGTCATTTGCAAAATTTTTTTGCTAAAACACATTCTGATTGCACACAGAAGTACTCTGAAGTTGACACCAAAAAGATGCTTGAGTTTCTGATTGAAAATATCAACGTGGTTTTTTGGAGACCAGTTTTTTCCAACAATCTATTGGAATTGCCATGGGTACCAATTGCGCCCCGTAATTAGTAGACCTATTTTTGTATTCATATGAAGCAGTTGTCCAAAATCTTATACATGAAATGCAGAATACACTTGCTGTAGCTTTCAACTCGACATTTTGATATTTGACGAAGTATTGTCAATAAACAATGGTAATTTCCAATCTTATGTTGATAGGATATATCCTGCAGAGCTTGAGATAAAGATGCCAAAAAGTCTGACACATATGTTTCGAATTTGGATATTTTACTTGAAAAAGACGTTAATGGTAATCTAACAATCAAGCCCTATGATAAACGTGATGACTTTAACTTTCCAATCGTCAACTTCCCTAACTTATGCAGCAATGTACCTTCATCACCTGCATACGGAGTTTATATATCTCAGTTGATTCAATACGCAAAAGCATGGTCTACGTATGAACAATTTATAAAACAAAACGAGGTTAAATTATTGACAAACAAGTTGATGAAACAAGATTATCAGCAGTCTCGTTTAAAGTAATCATATGGTCGATACAATGACCATGTCAGCAAATACAATTGATCATTGAGTCAAATGCTGACTGACGTTTTTCATGCTAATCGGTATTCCATTATTTATACATTGAATTGAAGATGGATTTTCCCGTTATTTCTCGATCATGACAAGGAGCACGCGGCGGGTGTGACCGTTCTGATCACTTCCTCCATGGCACCTGATCCCACCTCTGATGTTTTAGAGGTCCGTGTTTGCTCTTCTCCTATTTTGTATTGTTTTATGGACTTTTGATCATGATTATTGTGTGTTACCTCCATATGTTTCACCCATATAAATACTAGTATCATATACAGTTGTATAGGTATACTACGCAATGCGAGAAAAACTTTTCTTCATTACTAAAAAAGGAATTTCATAGTCCGGAGAAAAATTACCTTATTTCTCGCCATATTTTGTTTATTTCTTGCTGTAAGGACTTTTCTTTAAATGCATATCTTAACATTAAAAAACAGGTTTAAAGAAAAGCATTACATAAATGCAAGTTGCGTAAAAACAGATATTTTTTTCATCTCTGTAAGGAATTTGAACACCCTACTGCATCTTCACAAGTTAAGGTATGTCACACGAGAAATTTGTTAAATCAAGGATTTTTTTAGAAGTATATTTTGGATAATTACTCATATAGAGTGACTCAAAATCGCAGAGAAAATAGGGGATCAGTGTTCATCTAACCGATCTACGGTACAGTGAGGTTGACCTTTTTGCACTTAAATTTTAACTCTTTGGTTAATTACTTTAACCTTTATCATTTTTAAACAGATGTTACCATGGCAATAAATATGATTTTATTTTATGTAAAATACTTGGAATAATATTCATCATTGAACAAATCTTGTAAATTAATGCGCGTTAATTATTGTGTGACTTTTTGCGACTTAAGTGCTGATCAGTCACAAGTATCGAGTACTGTAGAATGATGAAAGAAAAAGATGGGGTCAGTGATGTCAATTTTGAAATATTGGTCAAAATATGTGATTTTCAGGCGAAAATGGTGTAAATTTTATCTTGACTTATTTAACATATCTTCATTTTTTGGAAAATTTTCTTGAAGGAAGGTGTAAAACTTGTTCTAAAAATATAAATTAAGACTTATATTAAATATTCCTAGCAATATCATAATAGAAAATATTCTCCGAGTAAAAGTATGCGAGGCTAAAGTTCCAAGATATTAAATTTGAAAAATGTGCAGATTTGCAGAATTATCTGCTTAATATCCTTCCACCACAAGAAATAGTCCCTCATAAATCTTGCTTCTTTGTAGCTTTTTGAGCAGTTTTTTCGTTGAATGTTAAAACACTAGCATTGTTGAAATTAGGTAAACTATAGAAATTTGATAAATAGCTTTGAAGTGAGAGGGTCTGCGTGAACTTTTCTAAAAAGCTAACGAGTGACATACCTTAAGCCCCCCCCCCCCCCCCCCCCCCCCCAACAAACCATTTGCAGATAATATCGAGATAAAGTTGCTGCTGAAATAAATGCGAGAAATCTGCGAGCCGACACACCCACTTAGTCTTCTATATTTAAAGTATCTTGAAGGCAGGTGTTAATTAGATATCCTGGGTTATTGTGCCAGTATTGTGCCAGTAAATCAGTTCATGAGTGGGTTGAGAGCAACAACCTTGCAGCATCTGTTATACTGTGGAATCATTTTTATTCGTTGGGGTCAATGTTCGTGGGTAGCCAAAAATTTTCTGGTTCGTGGGGACGTAATTTCGTTGGTAACAAGTTCCATTTCGTTTTTTTTCCAACATTAAACAAACAAGGATAACCCCGTCAATAATGCTTATTTAAGTTTTCT